GCTAAAGCTATGGTGCCAGGGAGTCTGGGTTCCAAAACATGTAGGCAGAAAGGTTGCTGCTAAAAGGAAATGAAATAAAATAGTGGCTTTTAAGAATCTGATGAGTGAGGATGTCTGTAAATTCAACTGTGCACTACGAACTAAGGTAGTGTGCCATAGTGTGGCAAAGGCAATTCGAGGCAATTACCATTTTTCTTTCATTTCAGATGCACAACTGTGAGTCATTGTGTCTCTTATGGAGGTTTAATACTTACTCTTCCTTGTTTGCCTCAATCTGAAGTGAGCTGGTTAGACTGAAAAAAATACATGTTATGTCTTTCACATGTGTAGAGCAATAACATTTACCGTTAAATCTCTTAAATACGTGGGGCTGCCCTTCAGCTTTCCACTTCCCTGCAATATTTCATAGTGCACAGTACTGTATGTTCCCAGACTTCCCTCCACCCACTCCCTTCAATCTGCTCTGTGTTCCATAATTAAAGCTAGAAACTCTTCAACTGGTTGCAGAGTTTTTGCTTTTCCAGATCAGTTTTGATATATCACCAACATTTAAAATGTTGCAGGAAGTTTTGCAAACATGTTGAGGTTTATCAGTAAAAATCTGCTTATTGTGGGGGGAAAGGGCCCTTTTTTTGTGTCTCTGTGTATCTTTCCTATCCACCATAGGAAAGAACAGCCCAAGTACTTCTCGCAGCTAGCACAAAGGTGCCTGGGAGCAGGCTTTTGACCGAAGTTTGCGTCTAGACAGTTCTAAATCTTTCAGGTAGCTGCACTGAGAAAGAGGCAAGTCTTTGGCCTTTGTAAACAATCAGTGCACTGAGAGATCTCTTAGACCCCAAGTTATTTGAACTTGGTGCTGTGGCTAATGATGAGCTCTCAGCTGTATCTAGCACTGAATGTACATCTCTTACTGAAGACTGGCTTCTGTAGTACAGTCCTGCTTTGAGAGGTAAATTTGGGACATACCTGGCAGCTTGCCGCTGATCACCCCTCACATGATGTAGTGACAGCTGACCTCATGCATCCCACCTCCCATTTCGCCTTTACCCAAGTACGCTAATGGAGTTTTATTGCTATACTGGCTTGGTATGTGGTTTTCCTTGCATATGACCTGTAATAGCACCATAGTGCAAGATTTCAGCCTTGCTTACTATTGCAAGGTGCTCATGGTGACAAATTTGGCTGTTTTTTCTAGAAGACTGAGCAGATGTGCATAGTACAGCATAGAAGCTCAGATGAGTTCCTGAACTCTTCTTCCTATTTTTTTTTTTTTCCCCTCGCTCTTGTTCTTGGTAGAAGGTTCGTAGGTAAGCTAGCTCAGATGTATGTAAAGTGGTGTATCTGTGTGACGCTCCTGGCTGCAAGCCTTGTACCTTTGACGGAGATTAACCCTGTAACAGGGACAACAGATGGGAACATAATTTCATGCCTCAGTTACTGCAGTTGCGGGCTACCAGCTCATGCTACTGCTGAACATGAGTGTGCACCAAGCTACAGGGCTGTGAGCTGGGGCTGCCTTTACACCCTGCAGCCTCCTGTGCTCTGGGAGGTGATCTCCAGCAGGAACATGAAGCAGACAGCTAGGAATGATCATGTGCTAACTCACTATGGCTATGTCCATCAGAGGCTGAGCTGCTAGATGACTAACTGGGCATTACAGAAACTGCATGGACAGATGGGAAGCACCTGTTATAGCAATTTTGCTGGGCTGGTGTACAACAGACTCTGTCTCTTATTATTCTCTCTCCCTCCCCCCCATCTTGTTAACTATCCTTTACTGGCTTTGCTCTCATCTGAATCTGCTCTAAAATCACACTGTTTCCATATGAGAATCAAAATCAGTGGCATGAGTGAATAGAAGCAGCAAGCAGGCAAGCTTTGCTTGTAAGAGTCCACATCTGTAAGTCTTGCAGTGGTGAGAAGATCTCCAAATAGGTAAGTTTTGGGTGCTTCAAAATAACACTTTTAGGAGCTGATAAGCCACAGAATTGAATGGAAAGACATAGATGCACCTGGCTAGGGTCATACAAGGACAGACTGGTGCTAGAGGAGCTGGAAATTAGCACAAGGAAGAAACATTTAGTAATTACCAAACACTCCTCACCTTCAAAGCTCTTAATAAAATTAAATCATTAGTCCTTACAACATTCAAGGTGATGAAAGGAGAGGGAAAGAATGAGGAACTGTTTGGGATCTCAGACTTTATGTATTCACTCAACATTTTCCCTTTAATGCTTATTTAAATAAATTAACCTGAATGTTCAAGATTATATTTGGCACTGGAATCTACTTATAAGGTACTGAGGAAGAAGTATCAGGTGAATTAGCAGCTCTCCAGTTATGCATCTAGATTTCCCTGAGCACCT